AATGCGGCATCAGGATTGGAGGAAGACTCATTAACCACCTGCAATATGCAGGTGACACAACCTTGCTTGCTGAAAGAAAAGAGGACTTGAAGCACTTACTGATGAAGATCAAAGACTACAGGCTTCAGTATGGATTACACCTCAACATAAAGAAAACAAAAGTCCTCACAACTGGACCAATAAGCAACATCATGATAAACGGAGAAAAGATAGAAGTTGTCAAGGATTTCATTTTACTTGGATCCACTATCAATGCCCATGGAAGCAGCAGTCAAGAAATCAAAAGATGCATTGCATTGGCAAATCTGCTGCAAAAGACCTCTTTAAAGTGTTAAAAAGCAAAGATGTCACCTTGAGGACTAAGGTGTGCTGACCCAAGCCATGGTATTTTCAATCACTTCATGAGCGTGCAAAGCTGGACAATGAATAAGGAAGACCAAAGAAGAACTGATGCATTTGAATGATGGTGTTGGTGAAGAATACTGAATAAAACATGGCCCACCAGAAGAACAAACAAATCTGTCTTGGAAGGAGTACAGCCAGAATGCTCCTTAGAAGGGAGGATGGCGAGACTTTGTCTCACGTACTCTGGACATGTTATCAGGAAGGACCAGTTCCTGGGGAAGGATGTCATGATTGGTAAAGTAGAGGGTCAGCGTAAAAGAGGAAGATCCTCAATGAGATGGACTGACACAGTGGCTACAACGATGGGCTCAAACATAGCAATAATTGTGGGGATGGCACAGGACCAGGCAGTGTTTCGTTCTGTTGTACATAGGGTCGCTATGAGTCGGAACTGACTTAATGGCCCATAACAACAACAACATACATGCCCAAGAACATCATGCTATTTTTAGCTAATAGACAAGGTTGCTCTGTCCATAACAGTTTGGAACAATCAGGAGTGAAACTATTAAACAGCATCTCTCACTGTGGTACCTTATCATTTAGCACTTCTATTTCTATTTTAATATTTTACAAAGCTTCATTATAAAAGTACTTGTTAAGTACCTGTTATGGATTGAATTATGTCCCCCAAAAATATGTGTTGTAAATCCTAACCTGTATGTATGCCTGTGGTTACAATCTCATTTGGGAATGGGTTGTCTTTGTTATGTTAATGAGGCAGGATTAGTGTAGGGTGTATTTTGAGCCAATCTCTTTTGAGATATAAAAGAGATTAAACAAGCAAGCTAGGAAGCAGGGAGATGCCAACCCACATGAAAATCATCCAGGAGCAGAGGCTCAAAAGAGACAAGGACCTTCCTCCAGAGCTGACGGAGAGAGAACGCCTTCCCCTAGAGCTACCACCCTGAATTCAGACTTCTAGATTCCTAAACTGTGAGAAAATAAATTTCTGTTGGTTAAAGCCACCCACTTGTGGTATTTCTGTTATAGCAGCAATAGATAACTAAGACAGCACCCGTGCTAGGCACAACACAAAGTTCAAATAGAAAGACATGGCTCCTATACTTCATGATGCGTTTAACCCACCCTATGCAAGCCAGATTATGGAAGAATCTCAGGGCTACAGCATTCCCAACAAGTGGCCATCTAGCCCCTAAGTGTCCAGGGGAGATACATTACGAAGCAACTGTCCTAAACCTATCACCCTTCCAATGCTTGTATTCCCTTTATGTATTAAAGGAAGGAGAGGAGTAATGAAAATCATCTAAAATCGATTGTGGTGATCGACACCCAACTTTGTGAATAAACAAAAAGCTAACGAATTGGTCACTTTATATCGGTGAATTGTCTGGTATCTGAATTATATCTCCATAAAGCTGTTTTAAAAAGGACAAAAAACTGTGTTTACTCTGATAGTTCTAACTAGTCAAAGTTATTTTCTAAGCTCTCACATTAAAGAATATCTAGCTAAAGGCTGCACTGGTTTGGCTGGTTTAGCACCTCAGTGGCCACTGTGGTGATCACTCTAATCTTACCCTCCACATACATCATTCTTTCTCTCACTTTCTTTATCTAGTCTCTCTTCTGTTATTTCCCAAGCCCCTTTCCTGTTGCTCCTCCATTCTAACTCTGTCTTAGGTCTTTCAGGAATTTGCAAGCACGGTTTTGTTCTAACTGGTGGACCTGAGAGTTAATCCAATTGCAGACCCCTGGAAACTTTCCCTCCATGACCTTAGGCAAGTCAAGTCCTTGCTAATGTCGCTAGTCCGGTTTTCACAATGAGAGACTGGACTGTGATCCTTTGCACCTCTCATATTCTATGGCTCTAGGTGAAAAAAAAAATCCAAATAATGAACACTTACTTGGCCAATAATATGCAGTCTCTGTCATTTTAGCCAAGAGACATATATTTGGATTATTCATTTTGTAAATATCCACCATGATGCAATCATCCAAAGAAAAGTATTTAACATATTTATAAAATGATCACCATGGAGTCCTTATTTTTAAAAACTAGCACTTTATCAAAGAAAATTCAAAGCCCAACCTGGAAGCCTTGATAGTCCCTCTGGACCAGTCTCCAGGGGTCCATTTTCAAATGAAAGAAAAAAAAAGGCTTTTCATTGTTGGAGCCCTGTTGGAATTACCAAACCAAAGAAAGAAGTAAGACCAGGGTGGTAGAGCCTTAACAACAATGGTTCAACTAAATCCTAACAGAAGGAAAGGCCTTGTTTAGCAAGTGGTAGAAAGACCTAACATAACACAGCACCTCAACATATGTTATAGACTCTCGCTCTCAGAAATATGCTCAGAGAGCAATAAACACTGTAGGAATTCCTTACCCTGGACAACTTGCAGCTTTTTGTCTAAACCAGTTACATTCCCCCAACAAAACTCACAGAAATATGTAGTCACCAGTTTCCAACATACCACCACTATAGACACTCTAAATTCACAGTATTGTTTCCATGTGCCCAACATCAGAGAGCAAAACCGAAAGAACCACATGAATTTCTCCTACATACACACACACAAATATGCAAGAAAAACCATTTCCTTTGCAGAGTCCTATGTTCTCTAAGTTGTGGGCATGCCCTGGATAAATATTGATTGCTAATAAAAATCAAACGGTTACCTCCATACGGAGAAGCAAACAGCACACACGTAAATCATAAAAACAATAACCCCAAGGTGAGTTCCTTGTCATTAAACTGAACACCAAATACGGAGTGAAATGACTCGAAGTGTCTATTTGCATCCCTCTTTCCCACTGTCTCTGACCAACAAGCTCTATTAGTTACCTCCCCACACTTCTGTCCCTCATCAAAAAAGCCTCTGCAAAACGGTCAGCTGGCCCCTTCAGGCTTTCCCTTCAGGCTGTTGGCTTGAGGCTCTAAAAGAAAAGTGTGGGGGGAGGGAAGCAGAAGGCACAAAGGTAGGCGCTTTCGTTCCCTTTCAACTTTGCGACAGGGCGTCCAGCCTCTCCCCTTCTCATCAGGGAACCAGAGCACCTGCCAGGGAGAGGCCCCTTCCTCCACCTTTGTAACCGATCCACAGGGCCTAGGTGTCTGAGGAGCCCAGGCGTTGCAGACCAAAGGGACAAAGGCTGGGCTTACCGAGAGGAGGGGGAGGTGAAAGAAGTCGGGAACAGGACCAAAAACTCTTGCAAACAGAAGGGGAGAGGGGAAGAGGCAAAGAGAATACCGAACCAATCTCGGATATTTCCAGAGGTAGCCAGGTTTGGTGGAGTAATGCGTGTGGGGGGAGGGGAAGATTTAGAAAATTCCTCCAGGAATAGAGATTAGGGAGCTGCTAGGGGGGCAGCAGCGGGCAGGAAGGAGGCTGAAGGCAAGACTGAGGCCGCGGCGAGAAGGGGGAGCATTTCGTGTGTGGGTAGAGATGATGGCAAAGAGGTAGTGGCCAGGAAGGGCCCAGTCGGCGTTCCTGGGGCCTGGGAGGGGGCCCTCAGGAGGGGCTCAAATGATGGCTGCGCGCCGTGCGGGGGTGTGGGCGCGCTAGGAAGGCATTCCGGGTAAAGGGCAGAGTTGAGGGCGCAGTGTTGGAAAAGAGAAAGGCCGAGAACAGAACCGTAGAGAGGCTAGGGGCAACTGTGATGGGGCCTGACCCCTGTCCGCCCCACCTCACCTGGCGCCGGATCAGAGTCCAGGTCTAGTCCTGAGAAAGCGCAAGCTGCGGACAACCCCTCCGTCCAGCGCGGGAGACCATGGACACAAAGCGGGGCGCGCGAGAGGAGGGAGCAGGGAGGAGAAGGAGAAGGGGGAGGGGGAAGGGAGGAGGAGGAGACGCCTGAGGCGCGCAAGGGGAGAAGGAGGGGCACCCGCCACCCTCCGCTTGGGTCAGGGGGCGGGGCGTGCGGCTGGTGGCCGCGTTCGTCCCGCCAATGGCCACTCCACAGGCCAGCTGGCTAGGGCGTGCCTTTCCGCAGCTCACCTCGGCACCTGGACCTTGGCTGGTTCCAGCCAATCAAACGCCTTCATTTGCATAATCGCCCATTCGCCCCCAAACCTGGGAACCGCTCACTGAGAATAAAAAGAAGGCCCCCCCGGCAGGGGAAAAAGGTCGACTCCAGACCCCCTACCCCAAAAGCATAGCAACACCGTTCTAGCGCTTCTGCGTCGTTCACAGTCACCCTGATGAGGGGAAGGAAGTAGGGGTTTGGCCCCAGATCTCTAAGATCGGACGTCTTTTCCCCAAAGTCCTTCTAGCCAATAGCTGCCCTCCCCCTGCTCCAGGGCACACAGTTCCATGTTTTCGCCTCTGAGCCCTGCATCTCCCCTCCCCTTTTTCCTGTCTCCCTAATCTCTGTGCTTAATTTCCATAGGCTGCTGCCCACTGCTGGTCTTCTGCTGCATTGCAGCCCTGATCAGCAGGCTCTGCACATAGCCTGATTGATGCTCCCAAGCTGACCAAACCAACCTCCGTCCAGAATGAAAACGAGAGAGGAAGAGGTTACTGCACCAGGGTAGAAGGGACCCGGTGAAGTGGCTTTGTTACCTACGATGGCAAAAAGCCAACACTTAGTAGAAGTCTAAACTCCCCAAATCATCTCTCCCCATCCTCCCTTTTCCTACCTTCAGGCCGGTACTGGGCCACAATGGTGACTGACTGGCCAGCCCGTTTCAGAGCAGCGGCAGCCTGCTCATGAGTTGCATTCCTCAGGTTCACTCCATTCACCTGTACAAAGAAGGGAGTCATGAGCCAGCCCCAAAGCAAGAAAGGAGTCCTGTGTCCTAGCAGTCAGGAGTGGGTGATGGGTAGCCCATCCCTAATCCTATTCAGATACCTTTCCCAATATCCCATCCTTGCCCTTAAGGCCAGAGACCTAAAGGACACAATATTTCTAATGTATTACAGGCTTATGTTCTGAGGACTCCGTCATAAGTTGGTTCTGATATAAGTCAAATACTTCATCTTTTTTTTTAGTTTTCATTATTATTGCCTTTTATTATCAGTATCTTTATAAATCCGATCTTTATTTGTCTTTGGGGGTTGGAAACATTACATATAAACTTACAGATGTATTTTAATATATACATACATACACACATCTATTTCACTGACTTTCCATTATCATAGGCCTTAATGATCTTCATCTTTATATCTATGTCTAGAGCCTTCCTCACCTTCTTTTTTGGATTAGAATTTATAGTGGCATGACTTCTTTTGCTAGACATATTATTGGGGGTGTAAGCGGTACAGGTGTTACAGTGTGAGAAACTTGAACAACTCGGCTTCAAATTAACAACTGATGCCTCTGATAGAACGAAACGCTGAATAAGATTACGCTAATAGGCCTGGTCTACAATGAAGTCAGCGTCAGTGTCATAACCATGGAGTCATAGTAGGAATGGCTGTCGAGAGCGTGCAAAGTTCAATTGTCATATATCGTTAGAGTTACATATTGCCCAACTTTCTATCCCTTATGACTCCTGACACCAACTTCACTGTCGACCAGGCAATAACCTGCTACACAGCAGTGTTTTGAACAGTAAATCATAACACTGAAAATCTGTGAGTGAACATCTGAGAATGATAACATCAGCAAATCACACGCTACAACATTGTATGTAGTACATATCAATAACGATAAGATGTACCCCCCCCAAAAAAAAAAAGACAGTTGTAAGTGATGTTTGTCGTAACTCAAATACATCGTAAGTCAGGGACTACCTATAATTATCTTTGTGTGGATCAAGTGTCAATCGGGACATTTATTTCCTCAAGGATGAGTCTGGTCTTGGTCCCTGTCCCTCACTAAGGATGTCTATACAGAGAATGTAAGTTTTCTCCAGCTCTTAGCCCTTACCCCATCTCAAGAAGCATTGTCTACAGAAAGCAAGGTCTCCTGTCCTCCCTTTTAGACTAGCACAGCTCCCATCCTCCCACCTCTCCTTTTTCTCCTCACCGATAAGATCCGGTCTCCCCTGCGCAGCTCTCCACTCAGGTCAGCTGGGCCTCCTGCCAGGATGAAAGAGACAAAAATGCCTTCTCCATCCTCTCCTCCTACAATGTTGAAGCCCAAGCCTGTGGAGCCCTTGTGCAGGATGATCTTGCGAGGCTCCCTGGAAGGAAAGAAGTGGAAGGATCAGGACAAGGTAGATGTAAACTGTTGTTACTGTGGGGGCAAGCTTGTAACAAAGACCATACTTGCCACAAGGAGTAAGGACTGGAGTCCCTGTGTATGATACCCTGTTCCTCCTGTCCTCTCCTGAAACCTGCTTGGCTGCTGTTTTCTGCCAGGTGCCAAGTTTCAGTTCTCTTCCCTCCCTCCTTCCTGAGGGCTTGGAGTCAACTTCCCAGTCCCCTAACCTCTCAGGGCAACAAATCCCTGCCATCGGCTCTAGAGACCAAATCTTAGAGCCCACTTGCTGGTTCTCTTCCTCCCCAGATTCTCCTGTGCTACCAATCGGTGTGACGGAAACTGGGTCACAATAAGGGGAACCAGTTAGGGGCAGTGGAACCACCCTGAGGTTGATTGCATCCACCACCCACAAAGTTCGTGTACTTACACATGCTCCTCCGGTCTCAAAATTCCACTACTAAATATCACCCCTCCTACCTTCCAACAACATATTTATTCACTAGCTACCACCATGTACCCTTGCTAGGTGATGTGGGAGACTGAGATAAAGAAATCCCAGGTCCCCAAAAGGAACTTAGGAGCCTAACTGAAAAAAGGGGACAAGCACATGCAAAATACGATCAAAACAAAACATGTCTAAAGGAGCCCTCCGTAAATGGTCACTGTGGTATCAGGTGAGAGCAGACGCACAACACAATCTAACGTGTATATCCACACAACCTGACTCCCAGTCTGCTCCCCTGGCCCACCACCTTCCCTTGTTGTAAGCATCTTTCATCAGAGGAGCCCCAAGTCCAAGACTCCTCCTTTCTCACTGCCGTCTCGATTGGGCGGCTCCGTCCCTGAGCTCCAGATGCTCTTCCTCACAGTCCTCCACTCTTCCTACCTTGCATCCCCTCCAGGCCGCAGGGAGCGGAGCGGCCAGGCCCACCTCTGCGAAGCCCTCCTCCAGGCCGAGGCTGAGGCTGAGGCCGAGGCCGAGCTCCAGCCCAGGGTCAAGCCGGAGCCTGAGAATTTGCGTGCCCTCTCCATGGCTCCTCCGGCGGCTCTTCCCCGTCCGCCTACCCTTCCGGGCTCCACCGCGGTCTGCCCAGCAGTCTACCAGGCCCCACCCCGCAAACCTGTACCCCGGAACCCGGGCCGGCCTGACCAGTTTCACGGCCGCCGCTGCCGCCGCTGGAGTGGGGCGGGGCAGTGTTCTCTGAGAGGCCACCAAGCTCGCCAGCCCCCCAGCGTCCCGCCAGCCCCACCGGCTGAACTGATTTCTTCTCTAATTGGAAGTGAGAGCAGTAGGCAGGGCTCCAATTATCTCGGGGCAGGAAACCCTGCAGCCCACAACGCCTCAGCCCCCTAAACACTCGACCCCACCCCTTCTCTCCACATTCGGATCCGGGGCCATGCACTCGGCACTCCCCCTGATGGCAGAACTTGACCCTGCAGCTACCTCTGTCCCTCCCTAGGGCCCCAAGAGCTAACTCAGACCCGAAGCCAGCGCTGACGAGGGCCTTATCCTCTTTGCCATGCTACAGAGATGGCCGTGGCCGGCCAGAAACTTATTCCTCCTCTCTCTCATCCCTGGGCAGGATGAATTGGGGGTGGAGTCTTACCTGGTAAAGTCCTCCTCAGCCAGTATGTGCCTGGGGATAGGAGAATAGCGTGCTGGGGGAACCTGAGGAGGAGCAGGATAGCTGACCTTGCTCTCCACAGCCCCGAGATAACCCAGGCTGGAATTATGGCTTATGTGGTTGTCAGCCAAGGCAGTAAAAGCTAGAATCAAGAAAAGGAGAAAAAAGTTCAGAGACTGCTCCAGGCAGTCTACCCCATCCCCTTCCAAGGACTTCCCCCCACACTTCACTTCAAGTCCAAAAGAGACCAAGGGATGCCAATTCCTCAGGTCTCTCCTCCCCATTCCACCCACCCCCCATGATTCCTCCTCCACGGTCCCTTTCTGAATCCTTGTCTCAGTCCTGTGAGTCTTAGAAAGAGCTGAAGTCAAGGCAGTCTACAAATAAAGACATGACTAGAGGTGTGACTAATAATAACCCCTCACATCTCTATAGCCTAATACAGTTTTTGAAGAGCCTTCTTGTCCATGATCTCATTTGATCCTTGTAGCAGTCCTATGGGGAAGGCAGGACATACATCATTAGCTCCTTTTTTGCCAAAGGGGAAACTGAAGCCAGGTGAAAGGGACATGTCCAAGGTCACCAGGCTCTATGGGACAGAGCTGGGACTTGGACCCAGTTTTTTCTGAGCACTAGTCCTCTGTGCTCTTTTAACAAGGGGTATGAACTTCTTCACCTCCAAAAACCAGGGGGCAGGGGCTTCAGGCCAGGGACAGAGCTGGATGGTACATACTGCTGGCGTAGTCTGGGGGTGCGTACATGTCGTTGAGGTGGAGGCTGCCTGGCTTGGCCACCTTCAGATAGACCATATCAGATGTGTTCTTCAGTGAGGCCACAGCTTCCTCATGCCTCACATCCTGCAGATTGGTGTTGTTCACCTAGAAGACGGGAAGCCTTAGGGCTAGCCTTGGGAGAAGGAAGGGCCTCTCCAGGGAACCCTGAAGGATGCCCTTTCAGTGAAATGCAGTTGCGCTCTACCAGAAGTCCAAGTATAGTGCTGTAAGGAGCAGAGAGGCAGGAGGTAGAGGGACCCCCCCAGCCATGGAAAGAACTAGGGCCTTGGTATCCAGGTAAACATGACTCAGATGATGCTCTTGAAATTCTTCATGATGCCTGGTCCCTGAGTGAGGTTTAGGTGGAGTAAGAGGGTGCTGGAGCTCCACCTCCTCACCCTATCATTTGGGCATCCTGAGGAAGGCTGTCTTACCGCCAGCAGCCGGTCCCCGATCTGCAGGCGTCCATCCTTCTGGGCAGCACCCCCCTCAATGATCTTGGTGATGTAGATGCTGTTGTCTCCTGGGATGTGCTGGTTGCCAATGCCCCCAGCAATGCTGAAACCCAGGCCTAGGTGGGGGCCAGCAGGGAGTAGGAAGGGGCCACAAGGAGAGATTAGAGTGCTCATTCAATCCCAAGTCCAACCCCTCCTCCCAGCCAACCCATTGGCCTCACAGGAACTCCCTCAGGGGTCCCAAACATTAGGCCAGTAAGGGTGAGACCCGAGGCCAACAAAGAAGGCGGTGAGTTGAAACAGGGGGAATCAGGCAAGGAGAAAGGCCATTCCCTTCCACTTCCTACAGGGCCAGCCAGCCAGGACCCAGGGCTAGGAGCTCTGGCCAGAGCACAGGAACCCAGACAGCCGCACCTTTGGGCCCTTTGAGCAGGTTGACCTCCATGATGGTCTCGGGTGGGGGCTGTCGCCTCCGCACCACCAACCGCACCACAGGGCCTGCCTCCTTCAGCGCCTCCACGGCTCGGCTGTGCACCACCTCTGACACGTCCACCTCATTCACCCGAAGCACACAGTCATTCACCCTGCAGGGGAAGCCAAGAGGCACAACACTGCGCCACTGCCACTCCACCCCCTCTCCCGCCTTCCCCCCTCCCCATCTCCTCTCTCTCTCCCCTCCCTCCTCTCTCCTGCACCTCCTACTGCCTCTTCCCCTCCCAGATCTGATGGAAGGGTCATCTACCAGGCAGGCCCTCCTCTCCTCATCTTCATCCTGTCCCTGCCGCCCCCACCCTGCTTCCAGGCCACCTCACCCCAGCCTCCCGTCCATGGCAGCTGCTCCACCAGGGATGATCTTGGTAATGAAGATGCCAGGGTCGTCTGGGACATGGGGGTTGTCGATGCCACCCGCGATACTGAAGCCTAGGCCGGAGTTGCCCTGCAGAAGGAGGTGGAGGGGCAGAGTCTATTCACTCAGAGGGCATAAAGGAGGATTCCTGGCACCCACCTCCCTCTACCTCCTAGGGGAGGTTCTCCAGGCCTCAGAAGGGCCATGGCAGGCAGGGTCACATTTGTCACCAACCTGGTGGCTTCCCAGCCTGTGCTGTCCATTTTGGTGTGGAGGCCTCGGCAAACCCCATTCCATCCCCAGTTCCCCAGGCCTCAGTGAGCAAGGTCAGTTAATATTTGTTAGTAGATTGATTGATTGATGCAGTGATGCAGCCTCTGAGGGCCACAGTTTCTCCATCCTCTCAGTGCAGGTCTTGCCAAGAGTCTTGAAACCAAGGTTCAGGGCCCTCCCCTCTCCTGGCTCGCACCATTCCTTCCCCTCTTGTCTCCTTCCTACTGGCAGACTTACCCGCTCGAGTACTATCTCCTCATACTTGAACATGCCATCACTGCCATTCACCTAGGGGAAGACACAGGCAGTTCCCTGAGTACTTCCTGACCTCCCAGCCATCTGCCCCCTGGTCAACTTGCCTTCCCCCCACCCCATTCCCCATCGAGGAAAAAAGCTTAAATCCACACCAGAGCACCTCTTGGCCGCAGATAGGAACAGGCTGACCCCAAGGAAGACACCCCTTTCCCCTTGCTTCCAGCCATGTCAGGCCAAACCCAGCTGCTCGTGTAGCCCAGATCAATTGTCTGGGACTGAGCTGGCCAGTGGTGCAGTCAACAAGAGGCTTGGCTCTAGGGCCTCAGAGTTCACTGGGGGGGGGGGGGCGGGGATGGCCTGAGAGGGATGGCAGAGATGGAGCATGGTGGCCAAACCATGCCATACCCAGCATCCAAAGGGGACACCCAGTGACCTGGACAGGGACCCTCCCTCCTCTTCTGAACCACAGCTCTCCGTAACTTGACGATCATAGACTCCTACCATGTCAGAGCTGGAAAAGCAGCAGATACTATCTTGTTCAACTCCCCTAGTATTACAGATGGTGACAGTGAGGCCCAGAGAGGACACGGGATGTGACTAAGGGCACACTGGGAATTAGTGGTAGAGCAGGGGCTAGAACCTAGATCTCCAGGTGCTCTTTTGATTACAGCAAACTGCCAAGGCTACTGATTTTTTGGTCACACACCCTTTCCCCCAGCAGAGCTCGTGGGAGAGTGGAAAGTGGCGTCCTTCAAAGCACTTCATGACCCCTCATTCTATACCTCCTTCTTTGTCCCCAGGAACCCAATTCCTCAAATGAGCAGAAGGAGTCAAAGTCCTAATCCGTTTTCTACCAAGGGGGTTTTGATCCTGAACCTTTCATGTTTCCCAGCAGAAAGGGCCAATGGCAGGATCTGGTCAGGAGTCAGAGGCAAAGCCAGGGGAGGGACAGGAGCAGAGTGGACAAGATTCTCCATGAGGGAGACGTTGATGATCCATGGACTGATTGGAGCAGAGCTTGTGGCCTTCAACATGCAGTAGCCATGGGAGGAGAGGCAAAGGAAAAGGGTTGAAAACAGTGGGTTGGTCTGATCAACCCACAGAGGTGGCCTCCCAGACAGGACACACATGTGACCATTTGTCAAGTGAAAATGTGATTTTGAACAGAGAAATAGCACCTGCTTCCTGCCTCCAACTCTCATCCCCAAGAATGGAAGAGGTATGACTAGAAGCCCTCTTGCCTCTCTCCCCAGGCGTCCCAGCACCCCCTCCTTCCATCTTTCTCTGCCTGTGCCGGCCTTTTCCTGCCCCTTGGCCTCCTCCTCAGAAAGGAGGGCTGGAAACAGTGGGCAGCAGCTCCTCTGCGTGCCCCACTCTGTCTTCTCTCTCCCTCCTCCACCCCACGCAGCTTTGGCTTTAAGAAGCAGAGATCAGGAGTCGGGAGAGGGCTGGCTAGTCAGGGCTCCACTTTTTCTGGGCCTGGCCCCAGGACTTTATGCCTTGCAGCCCTGGGAATTGGTGGGAGGACTCTAGCTGCAACCCCACACCGGTCTCTGATCCCAGGAGGAAGAACTGGTGGCCCTTCAGAGATCCACAACCAAAACAGCTCCCTGAAGTACCACACAGAAAGATACACAGGCCAAAGGACACTCATGTGGCTCTTGTATGTACCCACATCTGCCAGGCCATGCCTCAAGCCCAGCTCGGGGAGGACCCAGAGGCTCCCACCTCCCACCGGCCCACCCTCCATTTCTTCCCACCACGCTCAGGGACTCTGCTCCCAGGACCAGGAGCCATCCAGGGATCAGCCCTGGCAAAGAAACCTTGGCCAACTGACCCAGCCCTGGGACTGGCACCCATTTCCTGGCTGGGCAGGACAAGCATGAGAGGGTGTTTGCAAGGTGAGGGCTCCAGGGCAGAGGGGCAAAGGAGGGAGGGAGACTCACTGGAGAAGGCAAGGGGCTAAGACAAGGGACACAGGAAGTGGAAAGTGTGGACAGACAGAAGGCCAGAACTGAGGAGTCCTTTCCCCAGGAAGTGCCCACCTTTGCTTTTGAGCGAGAGCACATCCTGTCTCTAGAGGAGGACGGAAGGCAGCCAGAACGGCTACCAGCTTGGGGCAGTCAGCCACTGCACTCGATAGCAAACCTCCTTCTCCCTTTCTCCCCACGCTAGGGGCTGCAGAGCCAGATAACTAGATAGGCCCTCCGCCATGCATGCCAGGGACCTGGCTCTGCCGGCCCAGCCTCCATTTTGCTGCTTCTCCCACAGATGCTCCTTCCATTTTCTAAGCTGGCAGTTTAGGCTTAGAGTGGAAGCCGAGTTGTGCCCGGCACCCAGGGGGCTCCCAAGCCGTGCCAAGTCAGGGCTGGGGTGCCAAGCTTTTTCACATCTGGGAGTATCCAAGGGGGACATGTCCCACTGAGGCCAGTCCCTGCGCCAGGGCAGCTGCCCCTTGCCTGGCTCCAGGCACCAGGCCTGGTCTGGAGCAAGAAAGCTTGCTTCAGTCCCCCCCCTCCCCCCGCCCCCAGCACAGACACACTTGGACAAAAGAGTCCGTCCTTCTTAGCAGCCCCTCAGCCTTGCTTGGGACATGCCTCTCGCCGCCTCCTCCTCCCCTTCCTTGCCTGTCAAGTGCCACACACACACACCAGCACATGCGTGCATACATTTGCAGCCACATGCTCACACATATACATGTAAGAACACACACAGGCAAACCTAACTATCCCCACAGCCTTATCTACAGAGACACCTCCACATCCAGAGAGACATCCCACACGTCCATGTGCACGTTCACACACAAAGGGACTGGGAGGGAGAGGGACTCATGGCATCAAGGGATGCAGCTTAGCGAGCCAGGCACATGGGCTTCTCTACATAGCTTCACAGGAGCTCCGTTGCCTTCCTCCACACATCCCAACATACATATACATACACACACATACACACACACACACACACACACACACACATGTTCCCCCTATACAGAGCACCATGCCCCCTCCTCCCCTCCTGTGGAGACACACACCACACACAGCCCCCACAGAACCTCCCGCCCCTGCCAGACACAGAGACACTGCTGAACCCCCGCACTAAGACAAACTCAATTCCCCCACACAGGCAAATCTGCCCCTCCGCCATATCTCCATTCCCTGACACACAGCTCCTCCCAGTCCCCTCCAAATGGAGACCGCCCCCCAAAAGACACACAGAGAACCACACATTTCCAACCGCCTCTCTTTGCCCAGCTGCAATGCTAGGGCTCAGGGTCCATGGGCTTGGAGCCCCAGCTCCCCATGCTGCACCCTAGGCCTCTAGGCCCCCACTCCCCAACCCTCATAGATTGCCCTTCCGTCCCCCTACACCGCTGGTCCATACCTGCTCATACCAGTCCCGGTTGGTGCAGGTGCACTCAGGCCACCAGCTGGGGCCGCTGCCGTTGAGTTTGGGGGTGCTCTTGCCTGGGACTGGCTTAGGGGGCACTGGCCCTACATCCCGGCCAGTAGGGATAAGCTTGGCCTTGGTGCGGGGGGTGGGGGTGGCCCCCGCCTGCGAGGGCAGCGTCTGCGAGCTGTAGCCCCCATAACCTGCGCTGGCCCCATTGCCCCCACCTGGACCGTAGGGGTCTGGCACCTGCCAGTCTCCGTAGCCAGGAGGCTCGAGGCGCCGCAGGGCGGCCAGGCGGGTCACCTCGTAGCACTCGGGGCACTTACAGCAGTGCTGGTGCTTGTGCATGGCACTGCCCCCCGCGGCTCGCACTCCCCAGCCCACGCTGGCTTCCACGCCGCCGCTGCCGGGCTCCCGGGCACACTCGCACTGCTCGGACCAGGGAGGGGGGGGCACCCGTGGGGGCGCCCGGGCGGAGCGGGGCCTGGGGCCGGGCGGGCGTCCTGGGGCCTCTGCCCCCACGCTGCCCCTCACCCACGGCTCCCCCTCCAGCACTGGCGGCTCCGTGTCGCCCGTGGTGGCTCCTGGGCCGAGGCCCAGCGGAGAAGAAGAAGCGGGAGCTGGGGCAGAGGCTGGATGCTGGGAGGACCGCTTCTGCTCTGGTCCCCAGGATGGATCTGAGTGGAGTCAAGAGCATCTCTCCCTAGCTCTCCTCTCAGTTGATTCCAGCCAATCAGGGCGTAGAGTCAGGCAGCGGCAGCAGCGGCGGCAGGAATGCTAAGCAGCGGCTCCTTAAAGGAACAGAAGCTGTGGCGCCCCCAAGGCTCAGCTCCAGCACCCTGATCTTGGGAGTACCGTCCATCTTGGTGTTGGGGCAGAGGGCTTAGACCATGGGATAGTTCGGCCCCCAATATCCTGCCCCGACGCCCCCAATTTCAGCCCGTCCTCCTCCCACTCGACTCCATCCCACTTCCAAGAAAGAGTTCAGTGGGTCCCCGGGCTTGCTCTGAGCTGGGGCCACTAGAAGTAAAGACGTGAGGCAGCAGAACAGACTAAAAGGACGTTGGAGCAGGGTGAAGGAGGTGCTGCTCTCTCTTACAGGAGACCAAAGAAAAGGGCAGCATACAAGGCCAGCTCTCCTGCCAATGCCTCCTCCTCAGGACTATTGTTCTCTCAACCTCTAGGCCCTGAAATGACCAGGATCTCACACCTGACCTTCTTCTATCATCAGTCAGGGACTCAGCCCTAGATAAGGGAGGAAAGGAAAGAGGTAAGCGCTTGTCCCTGGCCCACAGGCCCCTATCTCCTCGACTCTACCGCCAAATGTTTATGGTGGGGGATAGAGTTTCAGGATGTCAAGAAGAGAGTCCAAGACAGGAGGAAAGGTAAGAAGAGATCTGAAAGGAGAGAATCAAGTCCGTGGGTCTGGAGAAGAACTTGGGAATACCTGTCCAAGGATATCTCCTCAGCCTTTCCTGGCTCAGCCTGTTGGGCAATGGAGGAAGGATAACATGCTGGGAAGGCTCTATCTTTTTGTTGTTTTGTTTTTAGCTACCAGTTATTGAGTGTTTATAAAGTCCTAAGTGCTTTACGGAGCCCTGGTGGCACAGTGGTTAAGAGCTATGGCTGCTAACCAAAAGGCCGGCAGTTTGAATCTACCAGCTGCTCCTTGGAAACCCTATGGGGCAGTTCTGTTCTGTCCTATAGGGTCGCTATGAGTTGGAATCAACTCAGTGGCAATGGGTTTTTTTTTTTTTCCAAGTGCCTTATGGCAAACAAAAAGTCTACCAAAGTGATACTATTATTATCTTAATCTCACCAATGAGAAATTGAGGCTCAGGGAGGTCAACCTAGCCAGAAAGTGACAGAATCAAAATTCGAATCCCGGTCATTTGACTCTAGAGATCATGATCTGAACCACTCTAGTATAACAGTTCTATTCTAAGTTCTCCTGCAGAACTTGGATCTCAGTTCAATTGAACAAACATTCATTGAGCACCTACACTATACAAGACCTTGACCCAGGTACAAGAGATACAAAGATTCTTTGATTATTGAGCACCTTCTATGTGCCAGACACTGTTCTAGGATCTGGGGATAGAGCAGCAAACAGAGCAAAACAGACAAATCCCTGCCTGGTGGAGCTTACATTCTAGTGAGAGGAGACAGACAAAAAGAAGCACAATAAATAAGTGAATTATGTAGTATATATGGTGATAAGTGCTATAAAAAAAAAGTAGAGCAGAGTAAGGGGGACTGGGAGTGCTAGGGGATGACACCAAGTTATGATATTTTTCCTTCAAGTTTTTAACACCAACATTTTAATATGAACATTTTCAAACATAAAGAAAAATGCATTTTACAGTGAATACCCAATCATCTATAACCTAGATTCTACAATGAACATTTTACTATATTTGCTTTATCACCACCTACCTATCTTTCACATATCCCTTCCAAAAAATTTTAAATGAACACTTACAAATATACAGAAAACTTGAAAGAATAATATAATGAACATCCGTATATCCTCCTCATAGAGTCAACAACTGGTAACGTTTAATTGTGTTCTCTCTCTCTATCTGTATAGATAGACAGAGGGATAGATATACAGATAGATAAACACTTTTTGCTGAACCGTTTAAAAGTAAGTTACAGACTTTGTTACTCTTCGCGCCTAAATGCATCTCTTAGGAATAAAGACATTTTTCCAAATAACCACAATATTGTTAAGATGCCTAAGAAAATTAACAATAATTTCATGTCATCTAATGTCCAGTCTATATTAGCATTTCCCAAAATTTGCCTTTCATATTTTTAAAAATCAGAATCCAAAGTTCTCACATTGCATTTGTTTATTTAATCTCTATTAATCTAGAATAGTCCCAATAATCTTTTACAACTTTTTATTTGGAAATAATTATAAATTTATAGAAAGTTGCAAAGATAGATTTACAGGAAATTGCAAAGATAGTACAGACAGATCCCATGTACCCTTCACCCAATTTCCTCCAGTGATTAAATATTACCTAATTGTAGTAAAATATCAAAACCAGAAAATTGACATGGACACAATGTGTGTACAGTTCTATGCCATTTAATAACATGTGGAGATTCTTTTAACAACCTCCGCAATCAAGATACAAAACAATTTCACCACAAAGATTATTAGTTTAGATAATAACCAGGTTGAGTGTAGAAACCTTAACTTCCTTTAAATTTTTTTAATCCTCTCCCATTTATATGGTTGTCTTAAATATTTTCTCTACATACGTTGAGATCTACATCAGATGATGTTATACTTTTTGCTTCAACCCTAAAGATAATTTAGACAACTCAAGAGGAGAAGGAAAGCCTATTGTATTTACCTATATTTTTGCTCATTCCTGATGTTTCAAGATTCCTTCTTTTATCATTTCCTTTCTGTTTTGAGAACTTCTTTTAGCCATTCTTTTAGGGTGGGTCTGCTGGTGATAAATTCTCTTTGCTTTCCTTAGTCTGAGAATTCTTGATTTCCCTTTCATTTCTAAAGGACATTTTCACCAGATACAGCATTTGGGGCTGACAATTCCTTTTTTTTTTTTTTTCTTTTTTTCAGCACTTGAAATATGTCCTGCCCCTTCTTTCTATCCTCCGTGGTTTCTGATGAGAAATCCACTGCCATACAAATTATTTTACACCTATAGGTAAAGTGTCGTTTCTCTCTCATTGCTTGCAAGGTTTTTTTTTTTTTTTTTTTTTTTTTTTTTGTCTTTAGTTTTCAGAAGTTTGACTCTGATGTATTTTGGGGTGAATTTCTTCTAGTTTACCCTGTTTGAGATTCATTCAGCTTCTTGAATCTGTAGGTTTATGTCTTTTGTCAAATGTGGGAAATTTTAGCCATTATTTAAGTACTTTTTCAACCCCTCCTTCTTTTTCCTTTTCTAGGACTCCAATGAAGTGAATGTTAGGTCTTTTGTTATAGTCCCACAGGTCTCTGAGGCTCTGTTTTTTTTTTTTTTTTTTTTTTAGCCACTTTCTCATTCTTGCTCAGACTGAGTATTTTCTAATGTTCCATCTTCAAGTTTGCTGATCGTTTCCTGTTTCCTCCATTCTGCTATTGAAGCCATCCATTGAATTTTTTAGTTTGGTTATTGTATTCTTCTGTTCTAAATGTTTTGTTTGACTCTTCATTATATCTTATATTTCTTTGCTGACTTTCTATTTTTTCCAAACTTGTTCATAATTGTTCATTGAAGCTTTTTTTTTTTTTTTTAATGTTGGCTGCTTTAAAATCCTTGCTAGATAATTGCAACCTCTGTCATATCAGTGTTGGCATTTATTGATTTTTTTTTTCCTTACTCGAGTTGAGGGTCTTCTGGTTCTTGCTATGATGAGTGATATTTTTATTGCATCCTGGACATTTTGGATATTATGAAACTCTGTATCTTATTTAAATCTTTTGTTTTTAGCAGACTTCTAATATTGTGCTGTCCGAGGAAGGAGCCATTGCCTGGTTACTGCCAGGTAGGGGCAGAAGGTCAGGTTCCGCCCTCGGCCTCCATTGACACCCGCTGCTGGACAGGGGTGGGAGTTCCAGCACCCCACCAGGCCTCCACTGATACATCCTTGGCTGGGAGGGGTTAGAGTGCCTCCTTACTGCTCCCCAGGTGACTTCCACTGACACCACAGGCAGAGATGAGGGGATGAGAGGATGGGAGGTGGAATGTGGGAGTGTATAGGTGGAGAGCATCCAAGTTGTTAATGCTGAGTCATGGTGAAAGTTCTGACTCTCCACTAGACCTCTTCTGACACTCTGACCCCACCCAGCCCAGGCTCCCTACTCAGCCTTCTCTGACACCACTCCAGGGAGCGTGGGGGAGCCTGGCAAGGGTGAAAGTCTAAACTCGGTCTTTGGTGGTGTGGGCAGAGCTGTAGTTTTTTGTGGTGTTTGGTTGCAGTAAAGTGGTTATTGTCTAAAAGTTTTTTTATCTGGCAAAGCTGCCCATTTCCAGGTGTCTTGCCTAGAGAGAGCAGACTTTTGTTGGGGCTTTTTTTGTTTGTACCTGTTGGCCTTTCCAGGTTTCTGGCTTCTCCAGCACCTAGTCTGGGATATATGAGACAATAAGAAAATCCAAGAAACTGATCACAGTGTCATTTTTCAGGTCACTGGAGTCCCTAGCTGGTCTGCCTTCTTCTCTCTACCTTTCAGAGTCTTCTTATGTTTGTTTTATATGTAATGTCCAGGGTTTTAGCTGTACTTAGCTGGAGGAATGTGTCTGCTCCAATTTGGCATAGAACTGGAAGCCCCTGCCCCATATTTTTTTTTTTTAAAAAAAAATGAATGACATCGACTTTTTGAAGAATACAGGCCAGTTGTTTTGTAGGCTATCCCTCATTCTGGATTTCTTT